ATAGATAAAAACTTTTAAATATAAAACAATAATGAAATTATTTTAATTTTTAAAAATGATTGAAAGTTTCAGTTTATTTGAATTAATGCCAAATGTCCAAAACCAATGTCAAAAACTAATAATTACACTTTATTAAAATTAAATATTATCACTAAATTTTTTACTAAAAAAACGTGTCTTAGCGTTAGTATTACAAAAAAATTCATAACTCCATAACTATTTAAGCTAGCTTCATAAAAATTAATACATAAAAATTTCAATATCTATTGAACAACTTTACCTAAGTTTTTCCCTTGATTTCTTTGGCCAAACTGTTCAATTTACACCTTAACACAAGAATAAAACGCGTCTTAATATTATTAATAAACACCAATAACTTCAAGATAAAAATTAATATGCAAATATTTTTATACCTTATGAATAATTCTCCTTCAGTATTTTGCCTATTTAGTTTGACCAAAATATTGAAATTACATTGTGAAATAAATCTCTATACAGTACAAAAAAACATGTTTGTTATGTCTACAACTTCATAATAATATTCTTCTATACTTGAAGTTATAAACTGCTATTGAAAAATATTTTAGCTTTATTAATGAACAAAATCTTAAAAAAAACATGAAAAAGATGTGAAAGAGAGATTTATTATTATGCGTTATAATAAACAGTAAATAAATAAATAATTAATATAGCTAAGATCATGATGAACCAATCAAATTTGGAGGGTCTAGGTTAAAATCCTAGATCTCTTGATGTAGGTTAAGATTTCCCATTGATGATTGTATATGAGATAGAATATTTTTTTCATTAAATACAATTCTGCATCTTAATATACTGCACTAAATTACTGTAATTTTTTCTCTGTAGTATTTAACTGCGTTGATAAAGCATGTATAATGATTACAGCAAATATCAAAATATATTAAAAAGATCAGAAATGGTAATATGTCCGCTTTGATTACAGAACTAAAAAAAAACAATTAGCATTATGATATCGATTTTTTAGAATCAAGCCAAAAAATAAAATTTACTTTATTATTACTTTGTAAAAAATACAAGTTTGATTGATTAGAAATATTATTGATGCAAGTAATGGTAAATTAGATTGGTTTGATTAGTTTTGTTTGATTTTTATTTATTTGTATGAGGTAAATAAAAGGATTCACTAATCAGAACATTACCTTTTTATACAATTTGCAGAATCAATCTTGGAATACACTTTGAAGAAAAATTACATTAATATAATTATATCACAAAAATTTGATCAACAGTATCCTCTTAATTTAACAATAAAGAATTTAATGCTAACTATTACATAAAGATCATCACAGAGTTATATATAATTTTTGAGAATATACGAAAAAGTTTGAGAATAAATTATTTTATACAATTACTTATTCCCATACATATTATTATAATATTACTGTGCATTTATTTATCAAAACTTAATCAAAAAAATAATAATACAACTGTTTCACACAATTCCATACTCATTTTATACAAAAAAGTTATAAAATATCTGGTGAATTTACGCCATTACTTTATTGATCAAATTATCTGAGAATATTCACATTATTTATATATTTCTTCTGTCACTTTCTTACACCTTTTGCAATAAAGATGTAAGTAATAATTAAATTTTTCACAAACCTTTACATCTGTGCTTCTATTCCCTAAATATATTCCATTTTTCAAAGTAGTTCTAGCCTTTCAGCTCCTTATAAGCTTTATTATTCTGATTATTTAGTAAAAAATTCAGCATAATATATTAATAAAATCAAAATTCTGACTAAATTTTCTTAAGAAAAAAAGTACAGTAGGTTATAAAGTCTCTCTATGTCATATGATAATTGTAAATACTCTTCACACTTCTAATTAATAGAAATATAATCTACAAGAAATACTGATAGCAGAATCTAAATATTGTATTTAGGCTAGTCAAAATTGCAAAAAAGCAGGATCAGTATCCAGTTAATATTTTTTACATATATAAGTAAGATCAATGTTAGATTAAATTTATCTTCTAAAACAGCTAAATGCTATGCATATAATTAGTTTATTTTTCTTATAGATAGGCTCATCTTATTATAAGGCATAGGATATAATCAATATATATGTATTTCCTGATATTATTCACCTGGTATAGTACATATCAAAAAAAATTTAATGTTCTACAGTACTAAGGATCAAACTATAATACGATTGCAAATTTGAGTTTATTGCTTAAAGTGTTGCAGGTAAGACAATATTCTAACTTATTTTGGGATAGCAACTTTACTAATTTAGAATTATAAGAGAATTGATTTTCATTTTCACAATATCATGAGCCATGTAATTCATAATTCTCATATTTTCTATTACAAATAAGGCATAGTGAACTCCATAACTGAGACAATGTAAAATCATAATTATCAGTCCCTCTGAAACTATTTTCAAATTTCAAGTATAAGAAGTACTCTAAGATTAATTTGATATTAATTTTGAATCAGGTCTATCTTCAAAAACTATAAGCTCTTTTTCTTCACATTGCTCAGAAGAAGATAAATAGGATACTTTGTTTTCTAGCTTCAAATTTATAAGAAGATCAGCTTCTGATATATGCACTTCTGATAATTACCATGGCTCATGCTCAGTTTCTTTTTATATATTTTATATAAATTAGATCAAATTTTATCCGTCAAAACACTTAGTAATCCATTTAATTTAGCATGCTAATCCAGATATTCAGAGGTTAATACTTTATCAGACTTAGTCATGTTTCCTTTTTTCTATGATTACAGATCAATTTAAATTAGGTAATAGTTGATATAAATTAGTGCTAAAAAAATATTATATAATAAATAATAAAGCATCAATTAGCAAATGTAATCACAAAGTGACCTAATTATGCAACTATTTCAAGTTTACGCTATTCACATTTAATAAAATAGGATTCAGTTTTATATTTACCTTCTATACTTTCTTTATTGCCATAATCTAACTTGCATAATAAACATAATATTTCATCAGTAATTCTATAATAATCGAAATTTTTACTACTAAATTCTCTATATAAATTAGAATAATAATCTAATATTTGTTAAGAAATAGGTACAGTCATATGTTGGCTTATATTGGGATACAAATAATATATTTGCCAATATACTTACTTCTAAGGAGATTAGTTTTCAAAGTCATGTATTTGTTCCAATTTGAAATGGAATCTTTATAACCTATATTATCTGTATTAATAGCTTTTTTGAGGAAATCATTTATAATATTTTAGATCTGATTATCATATAAATTCGAGATGACATTTGCACTATAGCTAATTATTTGGATTTTATTTATTTCTATCCTAACAAATAATATATAGATTTTTTTAGCTCTAAATTTATTTTACGCAAGTTTACATCAGTAATGTTAAGAAGAAGGGATTTGATTTCGCTATATATTAATATTTTTGCTGATTTATCATTAACATCATTCTTAGACTTAATATCTATGACTCAATCCTCATATGCTTTATAGTAATAATATTAGCATAAAATCTTCTTATGTCTAAGCTTTATTGCTACTTTAAATAAATCAACTATATTCTGTATTATAACTTCATTAGATCCTATCAGAATTACTTTTAAAGAGAATTCAAGAATTTGAATATCATGCATCTTATTAATCTTACTATTACTAATTTCAGTAAAGAATAGCTCCTGTCTCAAATCTTGCTTCACTTTTTGATTATAAGGAATTTTTTGATACTCTGTCTCTGTATTCTTAGAAGCCAGAGCCTATTTGTCTGCCATAGATGATTTTACTGATAATGTTTCAGCAGATAATTTGTTACCAGAAATAACTGACTTATAGGCTAAAATCAATTTTTTGGCTACTTGTTCTGGGAGAGTTACAAGTTCAGCGCTAGTCATAAAGAGGTCCTCCTCACAGTGAGTTAAATCTGAAGTAACAGAGGATAAATCTTTGGTAATAATCTTATCCTGAACCTTCTTTTCTTACCTACTCTTTCTAATTTTATCACTAATATTTTCTTATTTACTTTAACCAAGAAAGCATTCATTTTCTATGTCTTGGCATCATCATTATTTCACTAATCTATCACAGAGTTGGATAAATCAACATCTAATACAGTTTGCTCTATAAATCTCTTTGATATTGCTACTTTATATAGCTGATCATCCACCATCAAAGAATCCTGTTTCACTATCATGAGTCTGACCTTAAGCTTTGTATTTTTTTGCTTTAATTCCTTAACTCTAGTATTATATCTGGCATTTTTCTCAATAATCTGCTTCAGCTTCGCATTTTCAACCTTAATCTTTGCAAACTTTCTTCTAAGTTCAAAAATCTCAATTAAAAGCCTAGCATTTACCTCTCTTAATGAATTAATAGATTGTGCATTTGATATGATTGATAATACTTATTTAGTACATTAAATATTCAAATTAAATAATAAAAGATCACGTGTCTGTTCCAATTTAAAACACAGATCACTTTTGCCAAGAAAATTTTTTATTAATATATGTTAATAATAAATACAAGATCAGAACATAGCCTATAATTTATATTATTTTTTGATAAATTTTTTGATCCTAGCTCTCTTGCTAGCCAGAAAACTATCTACACTAATCTGATCTTTCAATAATTTTATAATTATACTAATTACCCTTTTTACATTACTTCATAGTAACTCAAAATTTTCTTTAACAGCAGATTTTGTGAGATTAATTTGATATTCATTACTGCTTATGAAAAAAATGCTATTCAGAATATATATGATAAAATGACACTTTGTAACTGTGATTACAATACCATAGATATAGTCAAAATAGTCATTTCTGAATACTTGATCTGCAGTTTATTTTTTTTATTAATCTGAAATGCACTTTTAAGTTACATCAGATTCTAAGAAATAATCAATCATTAATGCTTCCAATATATTAAAAAAGTGAAAATTTAGATAGTAAACCACTTGTGCATATCCAATTTTAATATTGTGTAGTTTTTCTCAGTGATACAAAGTAGATCTTTCAAACTTTTAATCATATAATCTACTCGACCTATCACATCTTTACTGAAAATATCTTTCTGCAAAACTATAAATATATCTTGAGTTATGAGTTTTTTAACTATAATAATTAATATGTGTAATATTGCTGAAATAAATTTACAACACATCGCTTTGTTAATATTGGTCATAATTTTTACATTCAAAAGTTTTAAGATTATATTCTATATGCAATGATTAAAAGCCTTATTATCATTATTAATTTTCTCAAAGATTGTAAAAAAAAAAATAAAATTAATATACTACCTAGTCAGTTTTGAAAATTAATTAATTATCTACTAGGAGTAAATTGCTTGATACTTATTATATCTTTCCTGTTAACCTTATTTTTACGCAATATTTCCTTCAAGTCATTAAGAGTTTTAAATGAGAAGTAGTTTCATAATTTTTGGCTAAGACTCTCAATAAATTTTGCAAGTGTTATTGCAGGACCAGCTTTCAAACTATAGCTACGAAAATCCTTTTTTGTTGTATTAAGAAAGACAAGGCCAGTAATCTTTTCTTTACGTAAAATTTCAAAGTAGAAGTCCTCTAACTTCAAGTTTTTCTTTTTTAAATATTCGATAAGCTTTTTCATATTAAAATTTTAACCATATCTGATATTTTTCTAGTGAAAATCTCTTCTGTTATTAAGGCAGGTAAAGTGAGTGAAAAAGCTTATAAAGACATATCTTTTATATATGTGTATTTGTATTTGTGAAAAAATATACGCTTGACTACAATTTCAAGTAAAGCTGATTTATAGATAAAAAAGCATTTGCCTAATATATATATAATTAAGATGTAGTACAGAATTGTTAGGCAATATTATTATATGTAGCATTTTTCAAGATGATCAGACATCAAGAACTCTTTCCCCTTCCACTCCAGACCAAAAATAATGGGAAAAGAAAAAAATCAAAATTTTACACAAAAAGTAACCCGCAACTTGCGAACTCGCCCAGAGTCACCAACAAAAAACAAGGACGAACCTCCTACAAAGAAGACTATGACTGGAAGAAACACTCAAACTCCAGAGACTCCAGCCGGCCCTTCAAACGTCGTCGCTCCCACCGATATCTTGTCAACAGAAACTATGAATATAGACCAACAAATAGACACTGAACTCACAGAAATAGCACACCGTAATAAGAACTTTGATTATTACAAAAAAACCAACTGGTCTTCTACTCAAAATGAAACACCAGCAGTAGCTATAACTGTTCCTTCTCCCGTTTTACGACCGACGGACAACAACGAAATGATCCCCAGTACTGATAATAAAATGGATGAGGACCAAGCTTATGACGCCTCCGAAAATCTATTAAACAACAAAACATCCGAAAAAAATACTATTTCATTCGAAAGACTTCGCGACGCTACCACCTACTACGTTTACTGCGCCGCCGAGACCTTCCTCCCTAATAAATCCTTCAAAGAAAAAACCAATAAGGCCTGTGAACTCTTCAACGGCGCTTCGTTCCCTTCATTCATTGGTGCATCCATTAAACAAGATCCTACTAACAAAACGTTGAAAATTGTCCGTTTAGGCTTTACCACACGAGATGACGCTACTCGTGCCATGGCTGCTAAAATTCCAAATATGGACAATGTCACGTTTGTACCCCTTACTACGCCAACCCCATTCAAATTTGACCCGAGTACGTCGATCAAAGTTACCGAGATCCC